CAAACACAGACATTCCGTAATATTCCCTTTTTAACTTCTGATTGATGGCACAGATTTATGATTAATGAAGATACCATCGAAGAAGAATAAGAAGAAGAAAACACCAGCGATTGGGAGGGTGCAAAATTCATAAGACCGTTGCAGCAGACAACTGGTGCGCAGAGCCGGGTGAACCTCAGTTGTTGTTGACTCAAAACAGTGATGACAACAATTAGGGGCAAAACAGACAAGACAACTACTCTGAGGGAAAGCCGATGACCTTTGACAAAAATTTGTTTTTGAGCACAGACCACCCTTCACAGATGACACACAATCAGTGACCTGATATGCGCTTTAAGAAACGTTTTTCATTAACAACATTTTTCACTGTCTATGCGTCTCCGAGCTCGCCCGTAGCTTGTTGTGTGCCATCCGATCACAGACAGTCTCCAGGGGTCAACAACATGCATGTAAGCGGGGTGAAGCAAACTCCCGGATTTTCTTAACAATCTCGCGTAAGGAGAAGATCTGGTCAGAGGTGCTTCGGCTGTACGTGCAGCCACTCTACTACTCTTGTGTCTTAGTGTCGGTTATTCCGCGGTACCGTCTTTTAACACCTTCGCATTGACTTTTCCCGGAAGTTTCAAAACACTGATGTCGGGATGATTGCAGCACATCCGATGGTCATTCCTCCTGAACAGCAATACTACAACCCCCCCATCAGCCTTTAGCCCACTCGTGTCTTTCTCTCAATCACTGCAGTTTAACACACACGTGCTAGCCACAACACGCCTAAAGCCTTAACCATCATATAAGGGATTTCTTTGATAACAGCATCCTTGCCACTTTTTAAGCTTTATGGAGTTTAAACCAGCCATCCATTCACTATATGTTGATAACAGGTGCTGCGTCAGAGTAAATGGCATTTAGTCAAAGCCTTTCAGCGTTAGCACGGGTCTCAGTCAAGGCTCCGTCCTGTCCCTCATCCTGTTTGTGTTGTACATGGATAGAATAGTCAGGAGCTGCCAAGACGATGAGGGTATCGTTGTAGAAGATGTGAAAAGGAGAAGGTTGCTGTTTGCAGACGACCATATTTTATTGGCATCTTTTGAAACCCTGATGTCCATGACTCACTGGAAAGGTACGCAGCCGGTGCGACGTGGTTAGTATCCATATGGATGCTTTTAAAACTAAAAGCCTAGTGCTTTATAGCTTTTCTA